CAACAGGCTCCCGGTGGAGGGATGGGGAGAGGTGGATTTCAAGCTCTCACCCTGGTGTTGCTGCCCAAGGAGTTGGGAAGAGATGCACACCTCCTGTTCTGTGGCTAAAGGGGCTGTGCTAAGCCATCCCTGAGAAGGGTACCTCAACGTGTCCATACAGGAGTGAGGTTTGTCATGTCAGGGGAAGCTTCCAGAAGAGGAGACACTTGACCTGTATTAGCTTATTTAGGAAAGAGAGTGAAGGTTAGTAAAGGATAGACTTTATAACTCTTTGTCTTCATTCATTTTATGTACATTGAAGAATATCGAGGAAATGCAGATAAAACAAAATAAGACTCACATGCAATTTAAAAACTGGGAGATGAACACGGTTAACTTTGTGGTCATTTTTCCTTGCGTCTTTTTCTTTTTTTCTCTTTGTGTGCTGAATTGTTGTTAGAAAGCAGGCTTTTCTATCCCAGTTAATGTTTTGTCAGATAGTAATATTGTGACTATGGTTTTCTTTTTAAATTCACTTTTAAAATATATTATTATTTTTATGTTTTTAAGTTGAATTTATTGGGGTGATATTGGTTCACAAAACTATAGAGGTTTCAAGTGCATAACTAAATAAAACCTCATCTGCACACTGCATCATGCGCCCAAGGTCCCATGCTTAAACAGATAATCCATCTTTACCATTTTGATGCCTCTTTGTTTAAATTTCGATTCTGATTAAATGAAAGAATCTGTGTTTTTGTGTATTTTGAAGACACATTTATACATAAAATGATAACTGTTAAATTCATTCTTCTGTCATCTTGATTTATAATTTATTTTTTATATGTTCTTATTTTCTTCCTTGGTCTTGCTTTTTATCAACTCTTCGAATGACTTTGCGTTTTTCTTTATTTATTTTAAAAATTTATTTATATTCCCTGTTTTGAATTTAACTCTTCCTGATTGAGTTAGAATTTTTAGCATACTTTTACTTTCTTCTTTAACATCCTCCCATTTTAATTTTCCACTTTGTAGTGTTTGTTAACAGACTCAAAAACTTTATTTAAAAGTATTGGTATAGAGTTATTGTTGGTGCTATTTACTTAAATATTGACTCTTCCAAAAATAAGTTTGACTTTGGTCTTTATAACTACTAAGCTTACAGTAATGGTTTAGTCTTGGCTGGGTTTTAGTTGATTTTAGTGCTCATTAGCGGCTTTTTATGCCATTTTGAGTTCTGGTTTTAGCTACACCTTTTGGTTGGGCAGAGTGCATGTCCATGTAAGTCTTCCAGAAAGAGTACATCAGTGATCTATTACAGATCCCTTGACTACTTGAAATGGAATGTGGTTCTGTTAATGTGACCCACAAATAAAAATTTAACTGATGGGAGATAAAAACACACCCACCCTAATTTAGTTGAGGATCATAAAAGAAATCATTGCCCACCAGGAGCCCTGACTCTTATCTCAGATGTTAAGCTTCAACCACAGGTCTTGTTTTCTGTTTGTGCAGGTATGTCTTGGGGTCCTTATACTTTTTCTCATTGAAGTGCAGTGGGTGCTCTTTGTCCTGCTGCGAGACTGCAAGTCACGCTATGTTTCTCCTAGGTCTAGGTCCAGGGTCTGCTGACTCTGGGTTCATGATGCTCGCTGGGCAACATCAGGGCGACCCGATACTGGGAACAGCCAGAGGAGGAGGCCCATGGTTCAATGACAGGTGGACCCCTCAGATGCCGACTCCTGGAGAGCTTGCTAGCCTGTCTCATGTCTGTGACATCCCTGAGGGTTTCCTTGGGCTCTCTGAGAAGATGGCAGACCTGTCACCCAGACAAACACACAGGGGTGATCTGTATGACCACTGTTATTAATCACATGTGGCTTCATGCTCCAAATCCTTTGGGATGTGTGCTCGACTCACATTTCAAGGGGTAATTTGTCATGGTTTCTCAGTAGAGTGTTTGCTTTACATTGATCGTCTCATCCAGTTATTCAGATATCTCATTATCCTCATGAGAGATGAGGAAACTGAGGCTGAGAGAGATAATGTCACTTGCTCAGGGACACTTGCTTGGTAAGAGGCAGAGCCTGCATCAGGACCCAGCCTTCTGACTCATTGCCCATCATGTCATTCCATGTGCTGCATACCTTTTTGTAATGAAGGGATTTGGCTGCAGAGCCTCCAAAGTCAACTCCTGAGTCCCTGTGCCGCCTCCAGCCTCCCTAAGATTGTCCTCGCTCCTTATTACATACAAGTTGAGGGCCCAGGCTTTCTGGTATCCTAGCAGTTTTAGCTCTTCAGCTTCCCTTAGCTTCCCTTACCTGGAGGATGGAGCAGAGGAGGGGCTGCCCTGGCTTCACCTGGGTTTCAGCCTCAGGCTGGGAGCAGACCCACCCTCACCTCTGGAGCCCAGGGCTCACTTCCCTCCAGGTTTCATAGCCTTGGAAAGGGAATTGAGGGGAACTGTTGATAGGCCTGGGAGGAGCAGTAAAAATTTGCAAGCATTTCTGCCTCTTACTTAATAAATCTTAATGTGCTCTCATGCACTCATTCTCCTAAAAATAAACACATAGGAAATGGGAGAGGAGTGGTTTCAGGTGCTGTCATCAAGCTAAAAAGTCTCATGAGTTCCCCACAAACCTCCACCCAAACTGCAGAGTTCTTTCAATGGGAGCGGAGTGTGTTGCTGGAGCAGCTTCTGAGGACATTTGGGCCTCACTGATCTCCTAAGACCCAGGGTTCTGCAGAGGGGATAAGTGGCTGCACTTCCAACCTCCTGGGCTGCTCCTAAAGTCCCCAACTCTCTGGAGTCTGGGGAGATGGGGTCAAGGGTACCACAGAGCTGTGAGAGCAAACCAGTATCAGCCTTAATTCCAGAGTATGCCTAGGGAGTCAAGCAAGATGATAGCAGGCATGAGAGAGATAGAGAGAAACTTGGGTTCCTGGCTTGAGGAGTTCAAATTTCAAATAGAGATTTATATACACATAACATAATGTTTATACTTATCAAACAGTTCTAAACCCAGACATTGTTCTAAATTCTATATGTGTTCCCCAAATCCCTTCAAAGTAAGTATGGTTATTGTCCCTCTCTTTCACACCTGGAAACAGATGTTCAGAGAAGTGAAGTAACTTACCCAAGGTCACACAACTGTAAAGGATGGGGCGTTATTCAAATGAAAAAAGTTGATTTTCAGAGCCTGCGATCTTGAGGGTTCTAGTGTCTCCTGGTCAGAAACAGGTACAGGACCCTGCAGCACTAACCTTGGCTCTGTGCCATAAAGCATTAGGCCCTAGGGAATTCAGAAAATGCAGGAGGAGAAGACATGGCGAGAATGGAAGCTAGCATCTACTGAGACCCTCTGAGTATTAGCCCTCCCAATATTACTAATGGGCTTTGAGATGAAGATTATAATCCTCTTTATTCAGATGAGAAAGAGTTCAGAGATTAAAGTTATTTGCTAGTAAATAACAAAACTAGGATTCACAGGGCTGTCTGACCTCAAAAACTGCAACATCTTATTTGGTTGTCTCCAAGAAAGAGGTAATTTGTGCTTATAAGGCATAGGGAAATAACAGAATTCATTCATTCATTCGTTCATTCATTCATTTAATCAACCCATCAATACTTATTGAGAGCCCTTCATATCATCTGTCCTGGGAAGCTAAGATATTCAAACCCCTGAAGCTACAAAGATATATGAAATTGGGTCTTTGACTCAATTTCAAAGACTCAGTTTCAATATATGAAATGAAGTCTTTGGCTCCGTGTGAATTCTAATCTTGACCCTGGAGAGCCACAGTGCATGTCCTTGGAGGACACCTAAGGAAGCTGATGCTCCTCACAACACCTCCTCCTGGCTCCTGCTCTAATCCTCATTAGACTCTGAAACTGAGCTCACTTTCCCTACAAACCACAAGGTTAATTGTATGCTTGTGTGGAAGTGTGGGTGAGAGAATTGTCTTGTGGTGGAAAAATTAATCTGAATAACCTTCCCTAAACTGTCAAATGTACTGAGGGGGTGAACAGAAACTCACATGTTGGAAAGGAAAAATGGCCATTTGTAAAGGACCTTGAGCCCCAGGGAGGGTTGGCATTGTCTGGTGCGGAGGGCAACACATTTCTGGAGCAGGGTGGCCGGCAGGGAGTCCCTATCTGTTGTGTATCCCCCTTGATCTTGACAGTTTTGCTGGTGGTAAGTTATTTGCTCCTGATATGGTTTCAAACCTGTACTAACTCCTGGGGGATGCATGTTAACATCTGCTATCAACAGTCCTGGAGCTTCAGTAGAATGTATTTCAAGTTCCACATCTTTGGGAAACAAAGGTTGAAGGACAGAACTCTTCCTTTCTGGGAAGAAGTAGAGAAGAAATTAAGCTGAAAAATATATAGACTGGGAGTGCCTATCTCTTCAGGAGACCATGAATCTGAACACAAAACAAATGAACAGAACAAGGCTCAATTTCATATATTAGTCTTGGAGTTCACATGAGAGTTGATGCCAGGGCACAAGGAATTGTGATTTGTATTCTCTCAAAATTAATGTGTTAAAATTTTAATCCCAATGTGATAGTGTTTGAAAGTTCGGTCTTTGAAGGTTAATTTAGGTCATAAGCATAGAGCCCTTATGAGTGGGATTAGCGCCCTTATAAAAAGAGCTTCCTGCCTCTTTTTCCTCCATGTGAGGATACAACAAAAAAATGACCACCTGCCTTAGCCAGTTTGTCTCAGTGGATAGAGCATTGGCCTGCAGATCAAGGGTCTTGGGTTTGATTCCGGTTAAGGGCATGTACCATGTTTAAAGGCTCCTCCCTGGCCTGGGCCCTGGTCAGGGAGGGAGCATGAGGTAACTAATTGATGTGTTTCTCTCACATCAAAGTTTTCTTTTGTCTTCCCCTCTCTCTTCTGCTCTCTCTAAAATCAATGGAAAAATATCCTTGGGTGAAGAGGAAGAAAGAAAGAAAGAAAGAAAGAAAGAAAGAAAGAAAGAAAGAAAGAAAGAAAGAAAGAAAGAGAGAAAGAAAGAAAATGACCATCCTGCCACCCTGATCTTGGACCTCCAGCTTCCAGAACTGTGAGAAATACATGTTGTCTATGGCAATTTGTTATATCAACCCAAACTGACTAACATAAGAATCTTAGGTGGGGGTGAGCTTGATATATTGTATTTGGGTTTGCAGCAGTTACATTTTCATAACTGAAATCAGGGCATGTTTTCCAACTAATGATGTTTTTCTGATGTATGCATTTGTCTTACAGAAATTAAGGGAAAGAATGCTAAAAGGTTGTACTTGTGGCTTTAGGATATATGATTTTGGTCCCTTATGTAGTAATAAAGCTTAGAGTTCTCCCCCACTCACCCCCATATTGTTTGGTGCAGCCCAGACCAGCCATCTTGCTTTCTTCTCCCACACTTCCATTTTGGATTATTTTTTTTAGTGTTTAAGACAGAAAATTTAGTCAGATTTGAAAATAAAACTAGGAGAGTCTAAGATCACAGGGTGGGGTAGGACACAGAACATGGGCTTTGGAATTAGACTGAATTTGGGCGTTGCTCGTCCTCAGTTATGCGACATTGGGCAAATGAATTAAGTTTTCTGAGTCTCAGTTTTTTCTTCCGTTAAATAGGAGAATGCTAGAAACTTCATAGAAATAGTTCCTGATGCAGAAAATGGTGTCCAAATCTGCATACTTCATTATGGACAGCATAAAGAGAAGGTGTTTCTGGTTCATGATTACAATCTGTGTGAACATTAAATAAAATTACTTATTTCTTGAGACCATTTCTGCACTTTGATGTCAGTGAAAGAGGCCCCTGAGAGTTGGCCAGAACAAGCTTAGGGACCAGAAGGTTCATAGATCTGTGATCTTAGACAAATGCATTTTTTCTTTAGAATCCTATATTTTTGCCTGCAAAATGGTGATCAGAGCTTTAAATAATATCAAAATCTAAACTTTTAGTTTATTGATTCCTCAAACGCAGTTTGTTCTTTTCTTCTCTTGAAAGCATGTTGCATGCTCTTTGCCTCTGTGTAGAGGAAAATGTCCCCAGTTAGATTGTGGGGTTACAGCTTTAAACAGATACATTCCTGTCTATTTTTATATTGCTGTGCACACACACCAGGATGATCTGAGTGGCTAAATAAGAGGTTTACTCACATATTCATGATAACATCATACTGGAAACAATGTCTATATCATATATAAACTAGGATTATATGCTGAGAAAGTTAATTCAATGTACATGTCTATAAACACAAGAATAAAATCATTCTATAAAAACTGGAAGTTCTTTTAGAATGGTTAGATGAGTGATTTTTTCATTTTATTTCTTTTTGTAAAAAGTATTTTAAAGTTTATTTATATAACAAATGTTTATTGAATTACTGCTACGTAGCAAGTTGAAAACAGAACCATTCAAAAACAGCTCTCTTTCATGGACCTTATGGTTTACTTTTTAATAAGTTACTTTTTTGGATAATAAATACAACTGAGAAAATAATTTAAAATGATAAAAGTTTTTAGCAGGGATTTTCTCATCATTGAATTTGACCTTCAATGAGGCTGAAACGGCATTTATTTATTTATTTGTTTGTTTGTTTATTTTTTTATTTATTTGACTAAAACAGTATTTTGATTCCTTCTCCAGGAGAAGGTGTTGTTGTTATTAAGGGTGATGATTGCATGCTTTAATGTCTCTGGATCTATTTTATTCATAGTTTATTTTGTTCATTAGATTCCACTAAGACTGATGGATTTCAGAGGGAAAGTGGCAGGGAAGAGATTAGCCAAAGAACTTATGTGCATATATGCATAACCCATGGACAGACAATAGTGCAGTGAAGGCTTGGGGAGAGGGTGGGATCAAGGTGAAGGGGTTTAATTGGGAGAGAAAAAGGGGACATCTGTGCTACTTTCAACAATGAAGATTAAGACAAAAAAGGATAGTGATTTTCTTGCCCTCTGGGTGGAGGGAAGCTAGATATGCTGAAAGCTCATTGGCACAAGAAGCCAAGATAAGAAAAATGATGAAATCATGGTGTACTCAAGTCATCACCAACAAGGCAGCAGAGATTAGAGACATCCAATTATACGGAGCCCCTGACTCATGCTTCCTCCTGGTTCCTTGTCACAGAGCCAGCTGAAAAGTTTGTCTAGGAAGTACATCCAAATAGATAGTGATGTCCAGTTAGAAAAATAAAGCTTCCTGAAAGTGAAAATTTTATCATGTCATCTTCCAACCACTGACATCACTTTAGTGGCTTCTCTGTACTATTGGGTGGAAGACCAAAATCCTTAGGAGGTCCTACAAAGTCCTACATAATGTGGATGCTGCCTGCTTGTCTCATGAGTCTTCTCCTCATTTCCTGGGGGAATCAATGGCACATACCATATCACCTCTTGCTGTAGGCCTTTGCATATACATTTCCTCTACCTGGACTAATCTTTCACCTCCATCCTCACCTTAACTTCATTTCATTAATGTTTCTCATCTTTTAGGTCAAAGTTCAGTGATCACTGCCTTAGACAAGCCTTCCTTGATAGCCTGGGCCAGGTCAATCTATCTTGTCACTTTCTTTAATAACACCACATGCATCTTCTCCATAGCACATTAACCCAATTGTAATGCTATTTATTTGATTAATGTCTGCCTCTCCATGAGGGTAGGAATGGCATCTTTTCCCTTCCATTGATTCCTTTAGAGCCTAGAACTGTGCCTGGCATTGAGTAGACCCTCAATAAGTTGTTGTTGAATAAATGCATGAATAAGAAGGGAATGTCATGCTTTCGTTTAGGATAGCATAACCTAACAGGATAGGCTGCTAGAGTTTCATTGGGAAGAGGACTTTAGGAAGAGTGTCTGGTCCACTAAACACAAGAAGCAGCACCTGAGAACAGATAGTGAGAATAAAGACCACTCCTGCCTGAATGGGTAGAGAACTCCCTCTCCCCATCACAAAAGTTAGCGTGCAGTTCCCTGGGTTCATTCTGGGTAATGAGATGGGATGTATACAGCACAGGCTGCACCTCTGGAATATCTTCCAGGAATGTCCTATGTTTAAGAGGGCTATAAGTAAGTGAATGAGGCCATGTATTTTGAAAACTAGTAAGAGAGGGGTAAGACCAGTGAGGAGAGACCACCTCTACTCCAAGGAGAAAAGCTTTGCTAGTGACATAGGAGTCATGGTTATGTGAGTCCCTTCAAGGCTACCATGGTCTAAGGAAGCTGGGCTGGCATATTAAATGTATAAAGGCTTGGATTTCATGAACTAGTAGGTTGAGGGGAAAGACCTTTGAGGATTACGTACGCATCCCTGTTCATGCATAATAACAGTAGTGATGATAAATATTGCTTATGGACTTCTAATATGCATTGGGCACTTTATTATTATTATTTTTTAAAATATATTTTTATTGATCTCAGAGAAGAAGGGAGAGGGAGAGAAAGATAGGAACATCAATGATGAGAGAGAGTCATTGATTGGCCACCTCCTGCACACCCCCTACTGGGGATCGAGCCTGCAACCCAAGCATGTGCCCTGATCAGTAATCAAACCATGACTTCCTGGTTCATAAGTTGACGCTCAACCACTGAGCTACGCTGGCCAGGCTGCACTGGATACTTTAAAACATAACTTTTAATATTCAAAATAGTTCTAGATGTTCAGTTTATTATCTCTATTTATAAGGAGACAGGCTCAGAGAGGTTAGGAAACTTGCACAGGATTCCACAGCTACTAAATGGTAGAGCAGAGACTGAAAAGTGGTTTGTGGTTGCAGCCATGCTCCTTCTTTACCAACAGAACCAGCTCTGAGGGATGGCCACGAAGGCAGATGAACTTTTCCATCAGGTCCTTTTGTCTAAATAAACCACATGGACATTGCAACCTGCTTCTCACTAGGTAGCAAGGGCCTCAGGTAAATTCCCAAGGCATTGAGCTCTCTTCCTCCTCAATTCCCTTTGAAGTTAGTGGGAAGTCAGCACCTGGAAGCTGCAGAGAATCACAATGGGGCTTTGTGTCCATCTGGATTTCATGGAATCACAGTTTTCATAGCGGAATCCAGAATCTATCTATCTATCTATCTATCTATCTATCTATCTATCTATCTATCTATCTATCATCTATCTTCTCTCTATTTAGTAAAGTCCCATTAGATAATATTCTAATTCAATGATGGAAATCAAACTTTCTATATGTAAAGCAGAAAAATAGCTGTTTTAATTATTTAAGTAATATACAAAGAGGCAAACATCAAAGGAAGCTCAAGTTGCAGCACGAAGAGAAAAAAAAATCTTTAGGATCAGCAACTTTTCTAAGGCAGACAAGATATTCTCAGACACATGCACAAGTAAGCTTAAAGCTTTATTTTAAAAAATATTGCAATTTTATGGATGACAAGATCATTAATAATGTCATTACATTTCTATGGCATACTCTTATCCACCCAGCATACCTGTCATATTTATATACAAGCTACTTATTGCTATGGGGATTCAATGAGGAAAAATCAATTAATTGCAAGCCTGGAAATTAATAGGACTAAGGTGCTGATGAATTTTCCTCCACCCTAAAAGTGGCTAGTTGTGCTACAGTTAGCTCCATTAGAGTTGTTACCCCTCTTGAATACAGCAAGAGGACCAGGTGAACTTTTCTCCATTTAACACTAATTCCCTATATTCTCCATCATTTAGTCAGCACAAAATCTCCTTCTCTCTGGCTTCCTTCTTTTTACTTGTATTTCTGTGGCTCTAGAAGTCCTTTCTTAACTCTGATATATTTTCTACCTAGTGTCTCATCCTTTTTCTCTCCTTCTCGGCTGAAGCTTTTCTAAGCATCAGACACTGTGCTGGGCACTGAAGAATAGGAACACAAACAGAGCTCACCAGGGTCCTACCTGCAGAACCTCTTTGGTTTGATAGCTTCCCCTATCAACCACTCCCTAGAGCCCAAAGAATCTGGGCTGGAGAAGGCAGGCAGAGACAATACATCATCACCATCAAGGTTTGTAAGAATGAAAAAGTTTAAGTCAAGAGGACTCTGTGATGAGGCTAGTGGAACTGCAAAAACAAATCAACAAGACATTGTTCCTTTGGGTGTTCGCCTACCTAGTCTTTTCTTTCCTTCTCTTCCTTTCATAATAATTATTGAGCCTAAAATGTGTGCCAGACACTGTCCTAAGAGGTTAAGGATATATTTGAAAATAAAATAGACTCTATTCCTACTCTTATGGCACCCATGATCTTTAGGGATCATAGATGAACAATCAAGCTATTTTGCTAAGGTGGATTAAGTGCCTGGTGGAGAGAAAAGGGGTTCTGGGTGTGACAAAGGTCAAAAGGCAACCTACATAATCTGTAAGGTTGAAGGAAGGAAGAGTCAGGAAGGCTTTCCGAAGGGCGAGACAAGAGAATCAAGGTGAGTAGTGAAGGGTGAAGAGGAATTAGCCAAGCAAAAGGAGGCAGAGTTGGTTGGAGGAGAGGGGTGGTTCCTAGTCAGATCCTGGTTTCCCTGTGGCTTCTTTGAAAAGTCTAGTGGCACAAGGATAGTCTGAATGAAGCAAAGAGGCCACTCTGGCTCAGGTGGGACCTGATTCCCATGTCTTTTCCAGTTGCTTCAGACAAATCCATCTTTCCTGACTTCGGTGCCATGTGATTGAGTCCTTATAGCCAGTTTCCAGTCAGGTTCCTGCTGAGGGAGGTGACAGCGTTTTTAATGGGAACATCTTTAACAGCAGGAGTCAGAGGCATTTGGTACTTTACTTGTGTAAAATGAGCTCTAAGGTCAGGAGGGGATGAGTGGGGCTCATTAGAACAAATGGTTTCTGGCTGAGTTAAAGACAAGACCTTGGGGTCCTTTCAGGTTCTTACCTAACTAAATTCAGTAATTATGTCTGTCTCACGCTTTAAGATAACAAAACAGTGAGGTAAAAGTGGTCATAGATGGGGGAAGAGGTAGGAGTAGATGAACTGAGCTTGGTGGGTTTCTATTTCAGCTGGAGTCTTGGCTCAGGTTTTTCTGGCTGGATCTCTCAGGGACATGTTTAACATGGGAGAAAAGATATGTCCGTGCTAGACAGCCCTTATGCCTAGAAGGATTCAGTAAATGCTTGCTGTTATCATTGTAATGGAAATTGTGGTTATCTTCCTAACATTCATTTTTATAAAAAACCCAATTTTAATTCAGTTATCAACACCTTTCCTATTCAGATCCATATGCTTTGTGGAAAGTAGATTGAAAACTTGTACATAGTTCAGGACTATTTTAATTAGTAAAGCCATCATGATTGGTTCAGGGCTGGGCTCATCATCCCATTTGGACAAGTGAAGTGAGAAGAGATGTTTTCTAGGAGTTTCTGGAACTGCACTTCCTCATTCTTCTCAGAGAGCTTCTAGTAGCAATTTCCTTCCCCACTTTCTTGATGTGGTTCAAGGCAACAGATCTTTGGTAGCTGTTGAAAATCATCTTTTAACCATGAAGCCAACACCATGGCAGAGGAGATTTGGAAATGTTGACATTGTTGAGCTCCTGAATCAAGCCAGCACTTTTTTTCTTAATCCTCACCCAAGGATATTTTTCCTTTGATTTTTAGGGAGAGTGGAAGAGAGAGGGAAAGACAGAAATATTGATGTGAGAGAAACACATTGATTGGTTGCCTCCTGCATGAGCCCAGCCAGGGCCTAGGCCAGGGAGGAACCTGCAACCAAGGGTATGTGCCCTTGACCAGAATCAAACCTGGGACACTTTGGTCCAAGGCCAACACTCTATCCACTGAGCCAAACTGGCTACAGCTCAAACCAGCACTTTATTTTTATTTACCAATATATCCTCTTTTTAGTAAAATCCACTTGGAGTTAAATTTTTTATTATTATTTATAATTCAAGGCATTAAAAATGGTAAGAGAACTTGATATTGGAAAGAGGGGCATTCATTCATAGTAACAAGCTCTAAAGTACAGAATTGGTTAAGGTGGGATGAAGGGCACAAGAGAGTGCTCCACTTTGTAGATCATCTGCCTGTCACATCTTGGGAAGATCAAGGTTGTAGTCTTGGTGGAAAATATAGGGATGTTGGTGCATGAATATGGAGGCCCCGTAATGTTTAGATTGCAGACATCCTTTCTGAACACAGAGAGAAAAATGCAACTTTGTTATAAGAACATTTATGGGAAGCAATAACCATCCTATTTAAGCCAATTTGAGTTGCGTTTTATGTTCCTTATAACAGACACATGCTAACCATAGCAATCAAATAAGTGCCTTGTGTATCCTGCTATCAGAGCACTTAGAAAAGTAAATGTTTGCTCATATTTCTGATTACCCTGAGTGTCTTCCCACTATTCATCTCTTGTAGGCAGGAACTGTGAAAATGAAGCTCACCATCCCCAGCACCCTGTATAATGCCTGGCATGTAGTAGGTGCACATATCTGCTTACTGAATGAAGGACCTCAACTGGGAGACATTAAAGCTAATGCATGAAATATGGAGATGGTTCACTCATTCCATTAATACTAGCAAGCATCTTTTATGTGGGCTTCATGGAAGATGATGATTCTCCACAGATCTATCCCTTTGGTGAATATTCTCCTTCATTCTTCTCTCCCCTCCCTCCCTCCTTCCTTCCCTTCCTCCCTCCCTCCCTCCCTCCCCCTTCCTCCCTCCCTCCTTCCCCCTCCTTCCTTCCTTCTTTCCCTCCTTCCTTCTTTCCTTCTTCCTTCCTTACAAAATCAGTCACACAGGGTAACAGACTGTCCATCCCACCACTCACTTAATACTGTCTGGCATGAAAATGAGAGACAGGCGTTACTTCAGAAGGCACCCTAGGTTTTCTTATTGGCCTCAGATGTCCGAGTCACCTCCAGTGCCCCTGGGAACAGTCACTGAAGAACACAACCATTTTCTCAGACAGGCAAGCACCCACCCACAGGTGTGTAGATCTGCTAGAACTGTGAAAGCTTTTGCAGAAGACAGCTCTGCATGGGAGCTTTGGAGCATGCTTCTCAGAGCTGCCTTCACGGAAGGCCCTGCTGTGAGGAGTACAGTTAGCTGACAGATTCCAGTTGCTGCAAATCTGAGATCACTGCAGCATTCTCCCCAGGCTCTTCACAGCCAATGACATGCCGAGCACAGAGAGGGTCCTAGAGCCTGATCATTCCTGTCCAGGGCAGGACTCTTCACTGAGGTTGTCCATCAACCTCACCAAGACTTTCTTGGAACTGAGCTTAAGCCTGTGTCTCCCCCCCAAACCCAATCTTCCTTCCTCCCTTGTCTCTCTTCGTGGGTGTCAGACCTGCACTGCAGTCTAAAGGTTCTCTCCAGCCCACTCGCATTCTCTCACTCTTTTATCCTCTACACGTGTATCACACCACCAATCCCTTGCACGTCTCGGCCCACCTTGGTGCCTGCTTCTCCGAGGACCTAAACTGAGGCTCACTGCCTTGGCCCTTGAATGGCTGTGTTAGCAAACTGGAATGTGTGATGCTTGGTGTCCCTTCTTCCATGATCACAGGATTCAAGAGTTGCCTTTCTCAGCATTTATATCAAGAGGAGGGACATTTTCTTGAGCAAATTTGAAGGAAGGAAGAGGACAAAAACCAGCTGTGGGCAGCAGCTGAGAGCACACAAGGCAGCAACAAACAGCATCGGAAGGAAATGGTGCCAGTTCCCTTCTTTTTAAGTAAGTTAAACGTTCAAAGAGTTTTTTGACAAGAGATGATGAAGCCATGAAAGCTTTGAGGTAATATAATCTTTAGATTTCTTATTTTGCCTCCCTTACCCTGCTACCTACTATCAAAGCCAACTATCTATGTGCAGAGTGGAAGGAACATTCAATGTGGAATACTATGAATGTTCCGGATTCTCAGTTGGCTCCTGCTGTGTGGCTTTAGGCAAATGAATTAACTTCTCTAAGTCTGTTTTCTCACCTGTGAAATAGGATGATAACCCTGTCTTCACAGTGATGTTAAGAAGATGAAGTGAGGCCACATTGATATGAAGGGTCTGGCACAATTCGGGCACAAGGTAGGTGCCCAGGGACATTAAGCAGTGCTCTGCAGAGAGCTAAGTTTTGGAGAATGAGGGGCAGCAGGGAGCAATCTGAGTGTTCCTGCTTGGCTACTCAGCAAGAGAGATGGGTCAGGGATGAAAAACTCTATGTCCCTGTGAGATCTTTGGCAATTGGCCTCCTCCCTTTGGTCTGTAGCTTCTTTTGCCAAAAATTAAAATAACTGCATTTACTTTAAATTGTATGCTTTCTCTTTATTTTTGAAGAACCATTATAAATATTTAATCACATATTTGGATTGATTGAGGTTTTGGAGCTGAAAATAGTGTGTCTAGTTCAGCCTGCTCCATGGGGCTTCTGCAGAGGAGGAAACTGAGGCACAGAGTGAGGAACGGCTTGCCCCCCGCTTTGGAGACAGGGTGGTCTTTCTGTGTCCTTGTCACAGGGCAGGTGGTGCGGCCTGAAGTGCACTGGCAACATTCAGAATTTAGCTCTTTATTCTGGAATGAATTGATTCTGACTGGTTTGAGTAGGAACCCTGCTTTCTGAGGGAGCCTGGTGGCCTTCTGATGGTCTTCTTAAAAGCATGAATGTTCTATCCTATTCCTTGTTCCTATATACCTTGTGTAAGAGCCTCTTACATTTTGAAATGCTCCTCAGCCAGGGCAAGGACTGTGCTCTGCTTGGAGCGCTACCCCAGTGCCTGGTATAGATTAGGGTGCAACATGCCTGTTTACTGAATTCATAAATTTGATGATGCTGGATAATCTGAGGAAGGTTTGGGCAGCAGGGGTGAGAATGGAGGCAGAGTACAAGCAGCTCACTTCACTTCTTCCTGCTTGTACACACACACTTAAGACAGGCCACCCGCCAGGAGGAGTGAGAGGCAGGGGAGCATCCTGGTGAAGAACACGGAGCTCATTTACCTGGATTTCAATCCTAATTCTGCTGCCTGCTAGCTGTGTGATCTCAGGTAAATTATTTATTCTCTCTGTGTCCTGCCCAGGGAGAGGGCCCAGATCCAATATTCAGTGTCAGCCTGCCTATGTATATAGTAAATGCGGGTGTACAAGTAGACTGGCGTGCGTGTATGGCTGTGCATTTACACGCTGGCAACTCCTGTAGTTCTCACACATTGCCCCTTCAAAGTTGTTCTGTGAACTTGGTGACGTCAATCATTCATTCAATGAATAAACATGTATCGAGCACCTACAAGGTGGCAGACCCCGTGAGGAGAGAGGCATGAATAAACATGTCCCCTCACTATTTATGGCATGCAGTCTACCACAGTGAGTAGCTGTGATGCTTGTGCTCAGGGCACAAGTGCTTTGGGAGGCAAGCGGAAGGTGTTGCGATTCTCACTGCAGCGCGGAGGGAGGGTGACAAGAGGGTAGGGTGAAACTTGAGTTGTGTCATGAAGACAGAGCTGTGTGTCAGGCGAGAACTGAGGGGGTGACATTGTGGTCAGGTATGGGGGGTGGCAGAATCAAGGCAGGTAATTCAAAATGAAGGTAATGGAGGTGACGAGGGACTTCCTTTCATTTATGTGAATTATCTCTTTCAAATGGCGTGCTAAGTTGTTTGGATACAGCTACTTATTAAGTTGTTTGGACCCAATGACTTCATAAAGAGAACAGGTTTTGCTTTTTGCCTAGGGTTGCCATGAAAATATAATTGAGAAGCCATCTATGCTATACACTGAAAAAAATTGGAAAATTCTAACCTAGACACAAGCAGGAAGACATTTTTTCTCTTTGTTTTCTGTTCTGTTGCTCTGATATATTCACACATGTAGTTTCAAGATTGTGACAATTATCTTTGATAAAGTGAAGGGTGAACACAGATGATCATAGCTGTGTGAACACGTGTATGCTTGCAAACCACACACCCATGCACATGTACACACACCCACACACACCCATGCACACATACTCCGGGGCAGGCAGAGTGATTCAGCTGAGATGGTAACTTAGGAGGGTAATTAACTTTGAGAAATGAAAATAATTAAACATCAATTAAGATATCATTGCTAGAGAAATGGAGGGAATAAGGATCAGGAATTCCCAGGGAGGAATAATTTCCTCAGCAACGTGGCTTCCCTGTGAGGAAAACAAGACCTACGCTTTCCTGACCGTGGCCAAGTTGAATCCCACGGACCCTGACATTTTCCCAGGGTTGCTCACCTCTGCCATCTTATCAGCTGTCCCAGCAGATCCACGGTGCCTCTCCAGCATGAGACTATCCCAGCTTTGTGCCAGGTCCCTTTTGTTTTGACTACTGCCAATACGCTCAAACTTGTGTACAAGTTTTGTGTGGATGTGTTTTCCTTTCTCTTTAGTATATGCCCAGGAGTGAAGTTACTGGGTCATATGGTAACTCAATTGGAGCAACTGCCAAACTGCCCAAAGTGACTACAGTATTTTAAATTCTCACCAGCAACACATGAGGATTCCAGTTTCTCTGCATTCTTGTCAACACTTGTTATTATCTGTACTAGAGGCCTGGTGCATGAAATTCATGCACTGGGGGGGAGTCCCCTCAGCCTGCCATTGGGGAATGTCCAACTGATGGCTTAGGCCTGCTCCCCGCAGCCTAAGCTGGCAGTTGGACATCCTTAACTCTGCAGAGGAGGCGGAAGAGGCTCCCGCCACCGCCGCTGCACTTGCTACCTGTGAGCCTGGCTTCTGGCTGAGTGGCGCTCCCCCCCGTGGGAGCGCTCTGACCACCAGGGGGCACTTCTGCATTGAGTTTCCAGAGTAGTTATGTTCATTGGATCCTCCCAGCAGCCTGGCTGTGAATTAGGCAGGGCAGTTAAGGACATGCTGCTGGTGATGACACTGAGGCCCAGGCGGTCAGTGCGCGTCATAGCGACCTGTTTTTCTGCTGTTCAGTTGATTTGCATGTTAGCCTTTTATTATATAGGATTTTTGATCATAGCTACTCTAGGAAGTGGGAAGTAAAAGCTCACTGTGATTTTGATTTGCATACCCTAATGGTGACGTCATTTCATGTATCTTCTTTGGAGAAATGCCTATGTAGAGACTTTACCCATTTTTAAATTGGGTTACTTATCATGTATTATTGAGTTTTCAGAGTTCCACCTTGCTCTTGCTCTTCCCTTCCTGAATGATTGCCATGTGGACTTTAGGCTCCAGCCTTAAATGCCAAGACAGCAGCTTTCCAGCCAACTGAGCCATACTGGCCAGGGCTAAACAGCATCTCTTGATGAGAAAAAAAAATCACAGTCAAGCTTCCACAATTGTGTGAGAATTTCCCTGTATCAAGTCCATACCTATCCTACAGGATCTCTGTCTCTCCTTGAACCCTGGCTCATAGAGTCTCAGCCCATGTTGTAATCTTATCTCCCTCTAATGTCCAGTCACAGCTGTGCTCAGCCAAACTGTATCTCCATGAACATGCTGTTTCATTGCTTTATACCTCATTCTTGTTTCTTCTCCAGCATGAATTTTGCCTGTTTTTCTATTTAATGAACATGCAATGCCATAAACTAGTACAGATGATGCATTAATTACTGAAATGTACACTTGAAACTTATATAATTTTATTAACCAATGTCACCCCAATAAATGTAATAAAATTAAAAATAATTACCTTTGAAACCATCTCATATTCTCTGTTATCCATAGAAAGTTCACTAATCCTACCACCTTCCTCCTTTGCACCTTATAATTTTGCTTAGCTCCTTGAAAATCAGTTTCTTTGTCTGCAAACTCGCAATGTGGTTGAAAAGGATCACAGAGTACTCCTAGGAACTACCCTCAGATTCCCTGGCACATGGTAGGTGAAAGTGATGGCTAATTCTATTCATTTTCCATCCCTAGAACATGTCAAGAGCCCTGTCAATAGTGTAAAAATTTTCCAATTCTGTAGATCTGGAAATGAGGCCAGGAGGCTCAGATGATTCATATTTCCATGCATTTCCCTCTTTTCTGAGGCTTAGGGGATACTCCAGGGACACCTTGTTCTTTGCGTTCTGAGTTCCAGTGCTGGGCTCATCCTTTTTGGGTGAGTGTGTATTTGTGAGATGGTAGCACCAATGCCTTCCAGCCAGAAAACATTTCCTTTTATCTCATCAAATAATTTGAGTGAGCTGGGGACTCAATAAATGGCAGTGGCTCTAGTTCATAGCATTGGGTCTCATTTATAGAAATGTCCCATATTGGCATCATGTTTCAGAGTTTCCAGAGTAGTTATGTTCATTGGCTCCTCCCAGCAGCCCTGACTGTGAATTAAGCAGGGCGGTTAAGGACATGCTGCTGGTGATGACACTGAGGCACAGGTGGCTTACGTGATACATCTAAAGGTCACAGTGAGTCATGAGAACTCACAGATCCTGACTCTCAGGCGAGTGCCCCTCCTCTGCCCTCGCCAACAAGCAAAGTGAAACGGAAACTCGAGCAGGTTCCAGTGCAAAACCCAGGTTTGCATCAGCATCTATTCGTTAACCCTGGATCTGGCCCTGCTTGCTCTCCTAGGTGGTGGCTACTGCTTTGCTTATGCTCCCTTACCCATCTTCCTACCTGGACTCACCCCATTGCTCTCCACTCTCACTCTCACAAGCCAGGATCCTGGCCACATAGGTCAGATATGAGAAACAGACCATGTTCACTAGTTGTTTTATTTATCTAGTCCTACATAACAAACCACCTGAAAACATAGGGACTTAAAACAACAACATTGTATTTTTTCTTATAATCCTGTGGGTTGGCTGGGGGGGGGGGTCCTTTGCTAGCTTTCATTGGGCTCACACAGGTGGCTGCGTTCAGGTGGGGGGTCAGTGGTGCTGGAAGATGTAAGATGGCCTCATTCAAGTCTGGCAGTTGGTGTTGACCATCGTCTGGAAGACATGGTTTATCTCTGTGTAGACTGGTGGTCTACATAGTGGCTTCAGGACAGTGGTCCAAGAGTACAGAGCCAGAAAATGCCAGGTCTGTGGAGGCCTGGGCTGGGATCATGCACAGCATCACTTCCATAGACATTCTATGGGCCAAAGCTATCACAGAGCCACTTTGATTCAAGGGTAGAGGAAATAAAACACCAGCTCTCTTTTTCTAATTATTGATTTGAGGGAGAGAGAGAGAGAAAGAGAGAGAGAGAGAGAGAGAGAGAGAGAGAGAGAGAGAGAGAGAGAGGAACCTCAATGTGAGAAACACCAAATGACTACCTCCCTCATGTACTCCAACTGGGGATGAATCTGAAACCTGGGTATGTGCCCTGACCTAGAATTAAACCTGCAACCTTTTGGTGCGTGGGATGATACTCCAACCAACTGAGCCACACTGGCCAGGGTTAAATCCCATTTCTTGATGAGAAAAAAAAATCACAGTCATACTTCAAAGGGTGAACTATTGGGCTATCTTTCAAAACAATGGTGCATGGAGTCATTGTGTGTTAGATGAGGCAGAGAAAGTGAGGTTGGCTTTCTTGCTCTTCTGTGCAGCAGGCGTTCCTATTAGGGCCTGTCTGTTGACGTCACCTGTCTTCTCACCCTCATAGCCTTTTCTCTCTCTGCCTCTTACATGGCAGCCAGAAAGGATGACTGCCTCCCTCCACCCTGGACTAACTCAGGACTGGGCACTGGGCACTGGACACTGAGACCCAGTCACCTTATCGTGCATCCAAGGGACATGGTTAGGTGAGAAACCAATCTGAACGAACCACCTCTGGAAAAGTATTCCCTACCTGATCTAGCACAGGTTAATGTGGTTCCGCTTTGTGGTTTGTTAATTGTATTTTGCTTGCTCCCCTTTTTAGGAAATCTCAAGATTCATGGGAGAAGCATGCCTAACCCTGTATGGACCATCCCGAGGTCGCTCAGTAAATGTTAAACACACGGTGGGCCGCTCAAAACTATAGAGAGCGACTGTGTTCTCCCCGCATAGGAAGGCCCTGTACTTCAGCAGTATTCTGTTAAGTGTTTGTTGACAAACGCATGCACACATGGATGAGCCCTGCTTCTGATTAGTGCAATGCATCACGGTTAGCTTGTTTTGGGGGAATGCGAACTTTTAAGGGAGTAGACCCAGTAACCTGACTAGGAGATGATCAACTCTGTCCCCATTCTATTTGGGGCTCTCCCTCCACCATGAGTCTTCCTGCCCGCCTGCGTGCCTGCGTGCCTGCCTGATGGACCTAGCCCATCTCCCAGTCTCACTCTGGGGCCTGGGAGACTGCTTCTCACTACAGTGTGCTCTCTTTGGGAAATTTCAATTGCTTTGAATTAGTTATAGGCTCAGAAGTGAGCGACTTCCACTATTGGAATGCAGGCTTTAAAATCACTCCATTTCATGTTGCCAGCTTGGCAGCACCAACCTGTCCTCAGAGAATGCAGCCTGGTCATGCAGGAGAGAGGCTTTTGAAAAAAAATAAGGCAGAAATGGACCAATACGGTTAAGGAGGGAAGGAAATGGCCTTGGAAATACCTTCACTTTTACATAAACCATGCCTCATCTGTTTTACCATTGATAACATGGCAAAACTTCAGATCTCCTTCTTCAGAATAAGTCAAAGAGTAGTTAGCGATGCCCTATGTAAATCAACTCACTGAGTCTGCTACGCCCCTGCAGTCTCCAGATTTGTGTGGTTATGTTGAAATATTTTTAGTAAAGCTTATGTTCTCATGCACGCAGCAAACACACCAGAAAGCAAAAGGATGTATCTGGTATAAATGGCATTATTTTCCAGCTCTTTTGAGGTATAATTGACAAATAAGAATTATACAGCATACAACATGGTGATTTGATATACGTATACATTGTGAAATGATTACCACAATTAAGCTAATTAACACATGCATCACCTCACATAATTACCCCGCCGCCCCCCCTTTTTTTGTTTTGGTGGTGAGAACACTTAAGATCCACTCTCTTTGCAAATTCCAAGTATACAATACTGTATTATTAGCTGTAGTCACTGTGCTGTACATTAAATCCCCAGAACTTATCACTGGAAGTTTGTACCCTTTGGTCAACATTTCCCTGTCTCTCTTTCCCCTGACAATGATCATTCTATGAGTTTCTATGAGTTCAGCTTCATTTAGATTCTACATGTAAATGAGATTATACATATTTGTCTTTCTGTTTCTGGCTTATTTCACTTAGCATAACACCCTTCAGGTTCATCCATGTTGTTGCAAAAGGCAGGATTTCCTTCTTTTATATAGCTGAGTAATATTCCATTATCAATATCTCTATCTCTATCTCTATCTCTATCTCTATCTCTATCTCTATCTCTATCTATCTATCTATCTATCTATCTATCTATCTATCTATCTATCTGCAGGTGAATGAATAATGAAAATGTGATAGGTATCACAATGCTTAGGTTGTTTCCATATATTGTTCACCTTTGGGAAACCTGGAAATGGTGCATGGTATCTCTCTGGATTGTTTCTTAAAACTGCATGTGAACCACAATTATCAAAAATAAAAAGTTTAATTAAGAAACAACAACAAAAAATAAACCAGAGAAAAATTCAAATACCAAAAACCCCAGTAGGAACTCTGAGTGGTGAGCAGAAAACCACAAGTCACAAATAAATGCAGAAAGAAATGACAAAGAGCTGGTTGGCATAGGAAGCTAATTTGCAAAAATATAATGAAAATCATCATTGGAGGGAGTAGAGGGTAGAATTGCTCTGTAGAAACTCAAGCCAGTAACTTGGAGGCAAAGCTAAGAAACTCAAAATACAGAAGAGAAGAATGAACATGCAGTGATTTAATTAGTATAGGCCAATTGTGAAGCTTCTGTTTATATGTTACCTTACATAGAAAACGTGTGAATATTGGTTTAGATGTATTATGTGATATACACTGAGTGGCCAGATTATTATGACCGGCCAGATTATTATGACCACCCCATCAGTACTTCATTGACACTTCCAAAAATACTGAATATTGAAAACTTCCTAAGCAAATACTCTCAAGGCTTTATTATTATTATTATTTGCATAACTAATTCACTTCATTGTACTGATGGGGTGGTCATAATAATCTGGCCACTCAGTGTATATGATGTATATGTACATTCTTTTCTTGCCTTTCAAAGTAGACATAAGAATATCACTTTCTGAGGTAATAAAGTTATCAATAGTGACTTTCTTTGAATGATACTGTTATTAGTGATTTTAATTTTCTGTTTTATGCTTTGGAAACACAAATTTCTACTGTGGATACAACTGTTAGATGAACATGTTTAAAATCAGTAAAATTTTTATGCATATTTCACATTGCAATTGTGTAAAAATGTATACAACAAGACACTGGAAGGAAATATTTTATACTAAATGTTAACAGTGGCTCTTCCTGGGTGATTGGGATATAGTTCTTTTTAATTTCTCCAAGTGACACTGTGTAGTCATCCCACTGTAGATTTTATACAGTGATTGGATGTTCATTTTATAATCATATAAATAAATTTAAAATTAGTATATGAAATTTATAGGTACCATATGATAACAAACATGTAAAAATTTCTACCGCAAGTTAATGGGAAAGAAAACAATAAAATTCAAAGTATTATAGATTTTTTTTATTACTTCAACTTTCATATATTTTTGGAAAACTGGAAATGGTACACAGTATCTCTCTGGATTGTTTTTTAAAACTGCATGTGAACTATAATTATCAAATATAAAAAGCTTATAACCTTTGGGAAAACTGGAATGGTACATGGTATCTCTCTGGAGTGAACTGCATGTGAACTGCAATGTTGATTTGGTAATAGAAATATCCCCAACGAAAATGGAAGTGATTAACTGAGTTGGGTATGTGGAAGATTTTCTAAACATAAAACAATAGAAAATCATGAGAGAAGAAGGAGGAAGTCAGTCATCTCAGAACCACTGTGCACCACGCTGACATGGCCACCCTCCGCCAGACACTCAAGGACAGAGACCAATGGGAGCAGCAGAAAGTACAGGAGCCCTAGCGATGGGGTTGCTCTTCTTGCTTCTAAATAAATGGTCAGTGTTTTCAGAGGATACTGTTCTGGAATGGCTGGGGTGAGGAAAAATAATCTGAGTAGAATTATCACCAGCTATCCCCAGTTTGGCCAAGTGAAATTGGGCTTCTCATTAGAGATGGCCAATGCACAGGGAGCCTCAAAGGCTATTTGCTCACCCTGAGAGATGTTCTCAGACATCCTCAGAGAACTGCTAGCATGAAGCCCTCTGACAGTTATGTGAATCAGACGTTTCTTTTTACCCCAACAATTTATTATGAAAAATTTCAAACATAGAACAACATTGGAAGAATTTCACAGTGAACACCTGTAGTCTTAGCATCTGGACCCTCCCATTAACATGTTACTCCACCTACTTTATTTTACACCTATGTATTGCTCTATCCAGCCATTCATCCACTTTCTTTTGTGGATGCATTTCAGAGCACATCACAGATATCACCACACTTCCCCTAAATGCTTGTGCATATAGCCAGAGTTCAATATTTATCTACAGATTTTTTTTCTTATGGGGTAAAATTTGCTTAACAATGAAACAAATCTCAAGAGTACATTGTTGGGCTTGGACAAATGCATATATCTAGGCATCTATCAAGATACACAACCACATCGTCTCCCAGAAAGTTCTCTCATGTCTCTTCTGGGTCACTCCACACCTCTGCCACCTCCCAGACAAACTGCATTCTTATGTTATTCTTCTCTAAGTTAGTTTTGTCTGTTTAGATATTTACGAAATGGAATTATGCATTATGTGCTCTTTTGTATGTCTTCTGTTACTCAGTATAAGATTTTTGTAGTTTATTTCTATTGTGTGCATTAGCAGTTTATTCCTTTTTATTGCCAAGTAGAATCCTGTTGGGTTAATATACTACAATTTGCTCATCCAGTTTCCTTCTCTGAACATACTGGCTTTCCCCAACCCCCAGTTTTTGGCTAATATGAATAAAGTGATTATGAATATCTATCTATCTATCTATCTATCTATCTATCTATCTATCTATCTATCTATCATCTATCTATCTAAAAGCCTAAGTAACCAAACAACCAGTTGACCAGTTGCTATGATGCACATTGACCACCAGGGGGCAGATGCTCAATGCAGGAGCTGCCCTTTGGTGGCCAGTGAGCTCCCACAGCCAACCTCTCATGGCTGGCCAACCTCCCGCGGTCCCTCCCCCTGGCCGGCCCCGATCGGCCAGATTGGAACTGGGGCGAGACAGTCCCAATTTGCCCTGATTGCTGGCCAGGCCAAGGGACCCCACCCGTGAACGAATTTGTTGGCCTCTAGTTATTATATAGAGTATGAGCTAATTTTTGCCTCTCCATAAACACAATGTAATATTTTCAACTATATCATCCATCCATCCATCCCTCCTCCATCCATCCATCCACCCATCCATCCATCCATCTATCCATCCATCCATCCATCCATCCATCCATCCATCCATCCATCCATCATCCCAAACACCCATTCAAGCACATATTGTTTATTTACTGCATGTCAGGCAATGTTCTAACATTGGGAATACAGTACAAAATTAAAAGATATATTCCCTGTCCTTTAAAGAATACAGTGAGAGAACAACACAGATAGGTAATTATAAAAACATAAAATTCAGACTAAAATGGGAGCTTCCAGAGAAAGGAGGAGGGAAGCAGAGTAGTGTCCACAACAACATTTGATGGCAGCTTTAGTAATGGGTGTCATGATGCTCTTGCCTGTGGCTTCCTTCAATAAAACCAAAGGCTTCACCATGCAACTCAGTTCAATGGTGGTCATTTCGCCAAGAAAGTTACTTTACTCCATGCCTACTTCCTAGAGCTTGTCATCTCTATTTGCATACCTCCAGCAGGTCTATCTCAAATTTTGATCTCATTTGACTCAGACTTTCAGAGGAGGTTATTATTTTAGGAGGTTATTTTGTCCTAAAGTTTATAGATTTCTCCTGAAAAGCACTGTGGAGCTGACTCATAGAATCAACCAGGCTTCCTCAAGTGCAACAATTCCAGAATGTACTAACTCTGAGGGGCAACACAGGATTACTTTTGAGTAATTGCTAAGGTTGCCAAATAAAATACAGGACACCCAGTAAATTTAAACATCAAATAAACAATTTTTGAAAGTGTAAGTATGTCCCAAATATTGAATGGGAGGTAAGTATGCTCCAAATATTTGATGTGATATATTTATAACAAAAGTGATTATCTGCAATTAAATTTAACTGAACATCTTATACTTTTATTTGCTAAATCTAGCGACCCTAGTTATTAGAGAAAGAAGGCTTTCTGGCCAAATGACTTTTACCCATGACAGAAGCCAAACCCATAAAGTACCAATACTTAAAAACAAAAACATGATGGAAATGTTAACAAATAATACATCTCCCAGTCTTTTAAATTAGAATATGTAGCTACATCACAAACTTTCTTGATAACCAAAAGTCATTAGTATGAATATTAATTACGTCAGTGTGCAATGTACTCAAAGCTACAGGGTTGCTTGTCTCTATATTGAACGCTACCAGACATCTGTGGTTTTAGAATTTTAAATTTAAATTATTTTTTTCTTTTCCCGTCATCATCAGGCTATCAATTAAACCTCCTGTGACAATTAGTATTTATTTTCTCAGAGTCTGCCTATTCTGACGTCAGTGAAAAATGAGATACTAAATCTCATTAGCAATATATACAAAGAAAAAAAATATAGGCTAGTATGGAAAAAGATATGAGTTTTTGGTAATTATTGAACATTCCATAGGTTTTAAAAAACTAATTTACAGTCTTTTAATTTTATTTTCTCAAGCATCCATTTACTTACTCATTAAAATAACAAATATTTTTATCTACTAGAAGTTTATGCAGACCTCTGCACCTTCAACATTTTATGAAATAATCTTTATAATGAGTCTTTAGAAATGCATATCTTTAAAAGGCTGAAAGGTTATTAAAAACTGAATGTTGTTATCTAAATATTTTATGTCTTCCAAACTGTGTATTCACTTAATTTACATAATTGCTTGAATCCCTTAAGTGGAGTCCCACCTGGCCTCCTGTTACCCTGCTAAGCAGTGAATGTGAAAAGCTCCCTCTCACCTAGATGCTCTCAGGATACATACTGGTCTTAACATTTCCTGCACCTTTAGTCTGGATCTCAACCTTTCAACTAA